GGGGTACAGTGTGACCCAGACCGGACCGGCGATCTCTGGACTCTAGGGTTACAGTGTGACCCAGACTGGACCGGTGATCTCTGGACTGTAGGGGTACAGTGTGACCTAGACTGGACTGGCGATCTCTGGACTGTAGGTGTACAGTGTGACCAGACTGGACCGGCGATCTCTGGACTGTAGGTGTACAGTGTGACCACACTGACCAGAGATCTCTGGACTACAGAGAAATTCAAGTAACTGTCATGAAGGTGAAGTCAACTCCGAGGGATTCTTCAAGGATTCTTTGTTGAAATTCCTGTTGGAAATGAGACTTTTCAGTTTGGGCTAGAATATTTGTTTTAAGATTGTCAAAATTCATCAAAAATATTTGACAAAGTCAACTTGGGGGACAACATGTTAGGATCAAGTGGGTAACAAGGACACCAGTGACAACTGAGCCCAGTAGTGAATTATTTACCCAGAGAATTCCCTGGGGTAATTTGGGTGGTGTGTCTGGACTCACTCTTTGTCAGATCTAGAAGATAATAATGAATGTGCTGTCTGCTCCAGGCAATCAGCATGTGTATATTTCTCTCTTTCTATCTCTCTGTCTCATTTCCTGTGCTGCTCGACACCACTTCCTGTCACACAGGAAGTGCCGCGCCTTACCGCCCTTTCCCATTGGCTGTCGCCACAGCAACACCTTCTTGGACTGAAACGAGGAGAAAGAAAATCAGCTCTAGAGCAGCTGCTCTGAAGAGAGAGAAAGAGAGAGAGAGATGGCACAGTCCTGAGAATGAACTCAGAGACAGAGGAGCCGAGAGAGAGAGAGACAAGGGAGAGAATAATTGAAACCAGGGAGACAGAAAGTAGTCAGACAGAGTGAAAGAGGCGGAAAATCTGATAAATGAAGAGAAAAACACGTAAAGAGAAACATGATGAAGTCAAAGACCAAGTGAGCTGAGATTCCTGACTGTATTGGCATGTGGGACCTGAAGAGACACCAGAGAAAGAGCAACAGTGAAGGCTCTGAGAGAGAGGGGACAGAGGGGGACAGAAACGCTGAGAGATCCTCATCCAGAAGGTAACAGTGTGCCCTTCTTCCTTCTTTCTTCCTATACTTTCTTCATCATCCAGTGATTGTTCTTACAGAGGTCCAGAATGTTCTGTCTGTAAGGGCTGGTCCTGTCATTCACTTGGCCTGGGGGCCTGTCATCTGTCTGTGTATCTGTCCCTTCTCCTTCTGTCAGTTCTGTTGAATGTACAGGCTCAGAGAGATCACAGCAGACAGCAGTCAGATCTGCGCTCTGTCCCGATACAGAGAGATCACAGCAGACAGTAGTCAGATCTGCGCTCTGTCCCGATACAGA